CGTGCGGAGCGTGCGGAGCGTGCGGAGCGTGCGGAGCGTGCGGAGCGTGCGGAGCGTGCGGCGAAGGCCCAAGCTCTGGAGGCGGCGGCTGGGCTTCAGGATCCCCCAAAAACCCTCCCGTTCGTCCAGAACTTCCAAGTACCACCCGCGGTCGCCTCAAAGATCCTCAAAGGCTTCAAGTTCCAAGGGGGATTCCTGGTCCTTGAGGCCCACATAACCACGCACAGGATGAGTCTTTCTTTTCTTTCTTCAGCCATCCGCGCATCTCCACTGCAGCGGTCATTGCAAGACGAAACTTCTACAGTATATGGTTGGCATTGGCATGTTCATCCCTAGGGCTCCAAGTTAGCCAAGTACATCCTCAGAAGGGTATTTGGACCCTCCTGGCACCCACCCCAGTCTCACTTGATCAGAAGGTACGACTGGAGCCCGACTGGGCATGATATGTCATGATATCTCAAGCTCCCTCTGCACATTGGCCACCGACACATCCATCAGCCCTCTCTGGTCTTCCTGGGCTAAACACCCCAACACGGCTGGGCGGAACACCTCGGGCCAAAAGCATCACTCTTGGTCAAAGAGTCATAGATGTCCGACGTACCCCAAAAAAGAAAAAACGGCTGTGAAGTGTGAAGATGGTAAAGCACCCCAAAAATGGATTAAAATGGTGGGGTGTATTTTCCACACTTATATACTGATGGTTTCTGGTTTGTGGGACCTGCGGACCCACACATGTCCCTTGTGATTCGCCGAGTTGAGTCCAGTTGAGGTTTTTTCACTCAAAAACTGCCCCCAAGCACTCGCCCCACGTTCTTCGGCCTCCAAGTCCCTCAACTGGCGCCAAAAGCCGTCGTTGGGATGCACGATGTTCCTGCCGAAGCCACCCGGGGGCCAAACACCGGCAGGTGCCAAGCTGGAGTGGTTTTGGAGGAATTCATTCTGTGAATGGATGGAAAATTTGCAAATGACATTAGGACAATCCCAATTCGGCACCTCAACATGGAACTGCTGGCATGTGTTGTTTTGGTGCTTGATCACCAACTGGATACAGCAATAAATGTTACAAAAAAATTGTTCAAGCATGACGATGGCTACCAGGAGGTAGTCATGTTCTTGTCATGTTCACCCCGAACATGACCCAAGGGCTGACCATGAAGGGTGGTCATTTTGAAGGGGTGACCATCACAATCAAGTATAGGAAGTAGGAAGTAGGAGTGGCATTGCCCTAAACTCATGCCACTCACCGCCTGCTTCGACCTCGGGATTCGGGTCCACGTCTTGCAGCCGATGCGGACTGAGGGGACACTCCAGGGGGTCCATGGCCCTGGGCACGTGGATGGGCATGGGCCCCAGGTTCGGATCCACTTCCATGGTGACCTCCACTTCCATCGTGATTCCAGGTGCATGGGCCCCGTGTCTTCCTTCCCGTGTCTTGGGACAGCGGCACATGCAAGGTGCACGTGCCACATCAACCGCCTTTCCCCACTGTGAAAAGAACATCGGCACATCGGCGTGTTTGCTCGATTTCTTGGATTTTAAGCAGCCCGCACTTTCACGCTGCTCCCTTGCCTACTACGTGGAAACTTCCGTCGCAGGGGGGGTGCACATTCGTGCAGCCCTGCCAACGGTGAAACCGTGGGAAGCCCTGCTTTGGGCATATGTCGTGGTCCTTTGCTAAACAAGCTAATCGCAGAATGGGCTTTTTTTGCACAAAGGCCAAGGAGTGCAAAGGATAACTTGAAACGATACAGTAAGTTCCAACATACGGGTGATCTCTGATGGATCAGTTCATCCATGCAAATTTGCCCACACACTGGAAGTGCACACACGAGTGCGGAGGAAGTCGCTCACCGGCATCTCATCCATGCCGCATCAGTCGAATCGATGAATCTTCTTCGGCAACTGGATGACTTTGGGCTGCTCCTAGGCTGAGAGGCAAGGAGTAAAGTGGAAGATCCCGACAGAAATACACTCCCGAAAACTAACATAGACCCCGGCAATGGCCCCCTTTTGCCTCTACCAACCAGTGGTTTTCAGGTGTAGGGACAAAGAAGGTCTGTGAAGCCTGCACGGTCCTGTGTCGCCAGCCCATCCCTCGCGGCCCAGAGACAGGGACCCCAGACCGAAACCGCCCCCCCCTGCAATGCCCTGCGTGCCACGTCACGGGCTTCAGCTTCACTTCCTCCAGCTTTTGCACGCGCTCAGGCATGGGCGGGGGGTTCGGCTGCTTGTCGTTGAGCGGTAAGACCGCTACCTTGGTCTCCACGGGCGCCTCCTGAAGGAGAGGAGAGAGGCGAGAGGCTCGGCTCGGCTGAGAGGAAGGTGAGGCGAAAGTGTTCTCCAACCCACCGGGTCGGAGTTGGAAAAACGTGGAGTGGATGAGAGGGGCCCATCTGTGGACCTCCTATCCGAAAAGGGGAACGGCACTCCTGCAAGTTGCGACCCCTGGAGGAACATGAAGATGGGCCATGACTTGAGCCTTCGGCTTAGGGAGCTTGATGGCCTTGTTGTGCTAGTCACCAGCGAGAAGCCTAGACATCACATCACCTCTTGTTTCTTGACGTATTTCCCGTCCCTAGCCGGCAGGCGGTGCTTGGACTGGATTCATACGACTGGAAACCAGACATATCCTTGCTTCAGGTGTGCTACAATCACCTCACTTCGAGGTGTTGTGAAAAGAGTTGAACTCACTCCCAACGCTCCCTTGAAAACAAAAGTATCGGACAACCCTTTTCTTGCGGGACCTTTGGACAACTGACTTTTCTTTCTCTCTGGCCACCACTCTCAGGTGCCCTGAGACCGTGCCCTCTGCTACTCCCTGAACGCCAGACGGGGTGGTTTCTCATCGCCAGTCCTTCTCCAGCATCATGTTGAGCTTGACCGCGAGCTCCTGAAGACAGCTACTGGCTCCGCAACCGGCCAACCAGGCCCTGAACCGACGAAAGTCTGCGGACCCTCCAGTTCCCCTTCCTGCTACTTCCGCCTACCTGTACTGCTAGCTGTTACCTTTTTCCACGGCATCCTTTTTGATCCTTCTTGTCCGGTTTCGTGCGGCTTCGGGCTTCCTGCAAGGAGTCTGTGGAATTTGAACATATGCTTCCCCACAATCTGCTCGGATCGTACGCCATGACTGAATCATATCTGGCCTTCAGAAAAACGATGCCAGCGCCCCAAATCATGAAAACTGGACCTATGGCTCCAAAGCCAAAGCGTTCTCTGATTTGCAGCCCTGAATGCGTCGCCAGCATCTCCTCCCCCTCCACGTCCCCTCCCCAATCCTCGCCCCTTCAACTCCCCTCCTTATCTTTGGCCTGTCGATCCAAATCCATCCACATGGACTGCTCATTGGTCGCCATCGGCATCAACCACCTCATCCCCGACGCCATGACCACAAGTCAAATGCAGTGCGTATACGACATGATGGACGGATGCGCTCTCAAATGGGAACCCAACCGGGTGTAACATTGTAACTGCATGTTCTTTCTACATTCTTGTTTTCACTATGGCCAGATATGGCCAGTGATGAAATTCCGGAACTCCCCAGTTTGCCAGGGAAACATGTCGCCTCCAAGGAGACCCGCTTCCACAAGCTTTGGTACATCAAGCCTACTTTCAGCAACTGCCAGAGGGACCCTTCGCACCTTGCCAACGACCAAGCCACTGTTGGCATCACATCCAAGAACCAAACCAAAAAAATCCAAAAAACATATTTTACGCAGAAGGCAATGAGAGAGATGAGAGAAGCAATCCTTTTGCTGGAATTCTTTAATGCGTTCAACTCATTGTTGATGTTCTCTAAAGGCGATAGTATGCTAGTATGCAGGCTAGAGCTGCCTGGAAAACAATCGGATAACCACACACTTGCGGATGGTGGAGGGAAAAGCACGCCCAAGAAGACCAGTACATCGCATTCTGATTCCACAATCCCACTGCACCAAAAAGATCCAAAAAGGTGCAAATACTGTGGGAACAAAGGTTAAGTGACAATAGGACCCTACCAGGGTACCTATGGGATAGTCTAGTTCGGGTTCTTCAACCTCTGACTCTGTTGGTTTCTGTCCACCTTGAACAGCCTTGGGGTGTGTCTCCCAACCCCGTCCCTCATGTCCTGTCAAGGGCCCCTTAGACCCCCCACTCTGGTGGCGGTTTTTCTGTCCCCCTCACGCTCCGCCTGCCACGGATCACGTCGCTCTTGGAGGTCTTGGGGCGGACCTGCCGCGCCGCCAGCACCGGATCCTTAAAGTCCACGTCGCTCTTCATGATGCCTCACCGGACGAAGAATCGGCGATCGGCGATCGGCATCGGCGATCGGCAGTTCTGGCCAAACAGCAATGGAAGTGGGCTTGAAAGGGGCTGGGTGGGTTGGAGTTGGCTACAACATAGAACGCCCAGGCTGCTGACGCCCATGTCATTCACAATATGTTGCAGTTTGTTTACAAGAATTGTTATATAATTAAGGGTCGGTCATATTCACTTTTTGCATTGTCTCGTCTGCAATTCCAAAAGAAACATGAGACATCTAAGCGGCTGATGTCCATGTCATCCACATGATCCAGGACGATGGCTAAGGTCTCGTTCACCTGGCGGATCCTCTCCGAGTTGTGGTCGCAACGCTCCAGATTTGCTTTCAGATCAATCGAGAGCTGGTGCCTTCAGTGGAGCGTTTGCTCCAAGGTCGGGCCAGCCGGGTGGGTGCGTGGGTGGGGGGAAACAACTGAAGAAGTTAAGATGAGAGGGGGTGATGTTGGGTGTGTCAGACCAATCACCAAATGACTTCGGAGGGTAAAGGAGAAATCATGAGAAATAGATGTGCAACTTTCGCTTTAGGGCTCCTAGTGTTTTGAGCCATGAGGTCTGTGAGATTCATGCCACTTGGAAACACCTGCAACTAGCATAGGAGGTGTTCCGCTTTTGGCACAACCCTCGCTTGTCCTCTCCTTGAGCAACTGAGGACAGTCCCCCCAAATTTGCGGTGACTGCAGCCAGCTCACCCTCAAAACGGTCTTACATCATCTTACATCTGACTGCTCACGTGCTATTGTGTAGTCTTGTTCTCTACCACTTTGCGTGCATCGGGTGCATCGGGTGCATCCTCATGTCCTCTTAGGAGACCCATTCCCCCCAGGCTGAAGGCTTCCGGAGCCAGGGTGCAAATCACACGCCATGGCAGGCCCCCGCAACTTGGCACAGCCGCGGAAGAACATGTCCTGGGCAGCGTGCGCGACGCGTCGTTCTTCCGCGCGACGCATCGTCGTTCTCCGGGTGAAGCGACTGGATGGGCCGCAGCTCTGGGATGCTGGGGCTGACTACCGCGTGAAAACAACCTGATCACTGGCAAAGCCATGCCCTACTTACTTCGCACAAAAGCTATTCAGTCAACAGCTGTCAGTCGAAAATGTTTCCTTGCAATGAGCCCTTGATGAGAAAGAATATGCCAGAATCGTGAAAGTGGACAATGGGCCCCTTGGAAGACGATGTTTGTCTTGGTAGAGGGTGGTGTCCACTTCCATGTTGTTGCAGGGAGGGTCATAAAATACACCCAAACCTGCCCAAACTCAATGCTCCCTAGGCTGAAGATGGCTGAAGGGCTGAAGGGTACGAGAACATCTTCTTGATCCAGGCTTCATACCGTTCGTACAGAACCCCAAGCAAGTTCAGACACCCACCACGGAGTCGAACCCGCTCCCGAGCAGGAACTCAGGCGTTCCCTTCGTCAACTCACGCACCGAATTTGCGAGTCCGGTGGAATCCTCCGACCAACAGGTGGCTTCAGCAGGGGTCCATTTCTCCTCCGGCGTTCCAGAGGTTGAAGAACCCGAACGTTCGACTCTCCCAGTTCGGTACCCTAGTAGGGTCCTTATAGTTCAGGTC